TGTATAAACTGTGGCTAAACGTTTAGTCTTCTTTGTAAATAGCGTACCAGTCTGTGCCTTACGTGGTCTCCACTCTGCTCTCTCCAGTGTGCGTCGAGCGTGTCATTATGTGGTGAACCTCAGGTACTTTGAGATGTCCATCCTTCTGGTCATTGCTGCTAGTAGTATCGCGCTGGCTGCTGAGGACCCTGTAGCCACCTCGTCGCACTGGAATAAGGTTTGTGTTCACGCTAATGTACGAATCACCTGTGTGAGGCAGGTGTTACACGATTGTCTCAGTGGAGGATCCAGTCTTTCTGCTTTTTCAATCACTCTCATCCTGAGTTCAATCGCGCTTTATCAGCACTGTGGGTTTCTCAGCTCCCCTCAGGTGAGCAGATTAAATATCATTAAGAACAGAAGGGGAAAAAATCCTTAAACTGTTTTGCAAAAGGCCGCTCGATGGGGGGGCAATTATATCTGATGAGTGCGGCAAATGAGGTCTGAAACACACTGAGCCTGGTTATTCGCTGGAGGAGCGCGGCTAATCCTGCGCTGCATTAATGTAATTTGACTTTTTCCTGCTAAGCGACTATCAGGAAGCAAATCGTTTTCGCTCATTGTTTTCTGCGCCCTTTGTGTGTCGTCTCTGATATTTCTAAAGCGTCTCTGGCTGTGACTTTACAGGTTCTGCGCTATTTTGACTACGTGTTCACTGGAGTCTTCACATTTGAAATGATAATAAAGGTGAGTTATTATGTAAAAATATCAGAAGAAATGGTGCTGAATCATGTAAATGTATCTCATGGGTTTAAATTCAAAGACATGTTGTGGTTTAGCTGGATGAGTTCAGTAACAGACAGAACAAACACAGAAAAATGACTACCAAAGACGCTGAAGTGACCGGTTTTATGTTAGAATTAGGACCCTCTGCTGTGTTTTAGCCTTGAAGTAACAAACATGAATTTATTGCAGCAAGTTGAGGGCTGTAATCACATTATCGCCTCTAACTCGTCTCCAGATGATTGATCAGGGTCTGATCCTCCACGATGGCTCCTACTTCAGAGACCTGTGGAACATGCTCGACTTCGTCGTAGTGGTGGGAGCGCTGGTGGCCTTCGCCCTCACGTCAGTCACGTGATTTATTTTTATTACTCTCATGAGCTAATCATATGTCTTAACACAAAAGTGTCTCTAAATCAACTGTAAGTTATCTTTTGCATCGCAGTCTGTTCCATTTCCTTTATGGGTTTGTAACTGTTGTTATAAATGTCCCTCTCTCCTGCTTTAACTGTCTGTGGATGATGCCTCTGTGGGATTGACCAGCAGCAATGTGATGGGGTAAAAGACTAAGAAAAGTCCTCTCTTATGAAAAATACTCACTTTAAATGTAGTTATTTAGATTTCTGCAGAATGCCAAATTTGTAAAATACATGTTGTGACAGTGGGTTAAAGGTGAAGAAGAAGAAGAGGCAAAAATGGGACATTAACGATGTTCACGCTGTTTCTGTACAGAAATAACAAAGGACGGGATATTAAAACCATCAAATCTCTGAGGGTGTTGCGCGTCCTCAGACCGCTGAAGACCATCAAGAGGCTTCCTAAACTAAAGGTGTGAAATGCTTTTGACTGTAGTTGGCTTATTTGTCTGTTTTGGTTTTGATGAAGCAGTTCATTAAAAAAAA